GCCTACACCGTTGTGAGCATTTATACTTGTGCAGTGGTGTGTCTCTGTCACTCTGCAGTTACACCTCCAAAACACTAGGCAGCAGTGGGGTTTCTGTGAAGTGCTGTAAAGTTTAGTTGATTCAAAACACACATGAATCACACATTAAACATGGCTTGATAGAGACAATTTCAAACACAAGAACACAAATCAGCTTCACTATAACTCGCAGCATTCACAGACAAACACTTGTCTTTATCTGGACACATTCTCCCCACAAATATAACATGCTAACGTTATTAGCACAAGCCTATGGCATTTTACATTGTATAAGTTAGCCTAGTTGCTAGCAGACTTTTCCTCTTCTCAGGTAAATCCTGTGACAACAGCAACATTTAACAAAGGTAACGTTACAAAATTCGGCTCCATTACAACTCACAAGGTTCACTGACAAAACAACTGTCTTATACTAAACACGTTATCCAAACAAATAAAACATGCTAACATTATTAGCACAAGCCTATGACATTTTACATTGTATAAATTAGCCTAGTGACGAGCAGAGATTTCCTCTGCTCATATGAAGCCAGGATAAATCACACACAAGACTTTAAATGCTATTTTTGTGGAGGCTTTAATGTCTTCACAATTTATTGTTTCTTATCTGTGAAATAAAAGTAAATAAAAGCTTTGTTTCCACTGAGGGAAATGGTTTCAGCTTACAGAAACAGACAGGAGGTCTGCGTCACCGCAACATGTAGTAACATTTCTGGGGAGGTGCACATCACGAACAACTTAGGCTCTACATCTCAGAGGAAAATTTTACTTTTTACTCCACTACATTTATCTGTCTGCTTTAGTGACTTTGAAAACATAGATTAATAATACAATATATAATCAACTAACACACGATGATGTATATTTATAGATTAAACTACTACAACAGTAGGCTATATTAAGCATTTAAAATAAGCTGCACCTTCACCAGTGCAAGTGAGGAGAATATAAGTCTGCATTATTTTAGTGATATAAAACATATACTCTAAGTAACTATATTCGCACAGAGTGATGAGTGAGAAGAGTTAAAGTTTTCTTGGTTTTTATTTACTTCACTTGTTAATTCTGTTGTCAAGAAACTTCTATTGATTTAGTTGTTGTATAAATAACCATACATCTAAATCATTAAGAGACTTTACAGCAGAGAAAGGACGGGGTTGGTGACCGGCATGTTTGCCAGTTTGTCACCGCACATACACAAATGCAGAGAAAAGCTGCAGTCTGATCCACGTAATCCAGCCGATTGTGTTCTGTGCTTTCACTCTCCATGAAATCACACTTAAAACTCTTCAGCTGTTTTGCAAGCTTTTAATTATGTCACCGTTTGAAATGAGCAAATACACTTAGTATGTGCAACTCTGTCCTGCACTCCCACATGCACACGCACACGCACAATCACACCACAAACATCCCCTCTTTCTCTTTCTGTCTCACACATACACACACGCACACACACACAGTCTGACCCTTGAGACCGAGTCGTGTGTTGCTGCGTCGTTTTGCCACAATGGCCACGTTGAACTTTCTGCAAGACTGCAAGGCCCGCCTGCTTAGCTGTGTGGGTGAAGGCACGATGACGTCCCTGCACAAAAGACCTCATTCACACAATCTCTTGAGGAAGCATACACACACAAACACACACAAACGCCTGCTCACCCCAACACTACACAGACCATGTCACAATATTACTCAATTAATCCAGTGAGTGGAGGCTGCCTGCAAAGCGCCTGCTTATTGCATAAAGCACCCACTGAGCAACTGCTCGGCTACATATTGCGACTATACCCGCTTCTCACTATTAAAGGTAAGAGATTAGACTTATGCTTGTGTGTTGCTGTGGTGCAAAAGAGGGTCTTGACCTTTTACTGAGATAGAGAGGAGTTAGACTTGTTAATCAGATTGTGTGCTTGGATGTTTCAGAGAGACCTGGGCCAAGCGCCTGTTTGTCTAAACCTGGTTTGACCCGTTTCTTCTGGTTGATAAACGGCCAATCAGGGCTGCAAGTGACAAGACAAGTGATTATGATGGATGTTCTACTCACACAGATGTTTATTGCAAAGCAGTGTGATTAAATGTGGCTCTCCATCTTTATACAAAGCTTAGCTGACATGTCGTCACAACTCCTGCCTCCTTCTCTGACTGCATCACCTTATCTATCTGGCCAGCTGACCAGTGTCAGTGCACACAGTAGTGCCTTCCACCGTTATGTCATACTGTCCTGACATAGTGCTGAAATGATTAGTCGATTGTTGATGGAGAATTAATCATTAGCTATTTTTTTAAATCATCAATAAATTGTTCAGGACACTTTTTAATCCTATGAAACCTGGAGCGACATCACTTTTGCAAGTATTTTAACCTTTGAACCCTGAACAAATCGATGAGTGTGATTTCTGTCAAAGACATGGGGAAAAAAGGCAACGAGCAACTTGGTAAGAAATGTCCCATAAATTGCTGAATAAAAGATTTAGAATTTTTTTTTTTAAAAAATGGGGAAAAAAGAAAAAAGCTAGAGAAAAACTGTATTTATGATTATTATTATTACATATTTAAAATTACATGTTACAGGGTTATTAGACTTATTACACACTTTTTTCAGGTCTTGTCCTTGTTTGGTTTTTTAACTTTCTTTCTTCTTTTTTTAACTTATTTTCAAGTTTTGAATTTTCTCCTTTTTACTAATTTCTTGCAAATTCTTGGGGACATTTCTGTTTTTCGCTGCTCATGGCCTTGGTCCCAGGTTTTTAAGAGACATCAGGCCAATTTGTTCATATTTCAAAGGGTTAAGCAACTCTGCCAAACATTTACTGCTTCTCACATGTGGGTATGTGCAGCTTTTTTCAGTTTTAAAACATGTAATTTTAAAATCTTCTGGTTTTTGAATAATAGTCAGCCTAAATTAACAATATGATTATATCACTTTGTGCAGTATTGTGATTGACTTATTTTGCAGTTCTCTGACTAAGGCTGCTACAAAGGAGTATTAGGGAAAAAAGTCATAATATTATGAGAATAAAGTCGTAGTTTTTAAGGAAATAAACAACAACAAACAGAATGGGTTAGAGGATGAACCTGCTTGTGGCAGCTGCTCTTTGTCTCAGGGGTGTTGCCTTGACACACATGTAATATTACGAGTTTTTTTCGTAATATTACAACTAAAATCTTGTAATATTATGACTTTTTTTCTCATTAAATTACGACTTTATTCTCGAGATCTCCATATTTTTTTTCTTCAATATGGCCCTAATACTCCGTCGTAGGCTGCAACTAACTATATTTTTTATTGTAGATTAATTTGTCCATTATCTTCTTTATTAATCAGTTTAAAATGGTGAAAAATGTCGACCTGTGTTTCCTAACACCTAAGACGATGTCCTCAAATGTCTTCTTTCATCCACAACCCAAAGATATTAAGTTAACTGTCACAGAAGGGTAAAGAGACTAGAAAATATTCACATTTAAAAAGATGGAGTCAGAGAATTTGTTTTTTAAAGATAAAGCTAATTTCGTTTGTGTACAAAAACGATGTGGTGGTCAACAAAAAATTTGTTGCAGTAATCAGAACATGTGGGTTGAAAGCTACAGACTCAGACGCAGCAACTTCCAAACAACTTATTTAATAAATATATACAAATTTAAAAAGCATTCACGATTTTTGTGAATATAATATATTGTTACTCTGTTGTTAGAAGGGCAGTACATTTGGTGAAAAGTGTATAAACACTTGCTTCAGACTTGGAACTCAAAGTTTAGATCTTGGGACTTGTGTCTTGAGACTTATGGCCAAAACACACCGGTGGTGAACGTCGTGCATCAAAAAATACACCCTTAGTATATTTAAAGCACAACTCAACACCGGCAGTGGCTGGACACACGTCACCAAGCGGCACTTCATGCTACTGTCCTATCTCCAGTCTCTCTGCGCCCTGCATTAAATGCATTTTTCCCCCACCTGCTCTCTGCCCATACATACCAGCTCCCGTAGCTCTTTTTCTCTGCTTCTATGACAGCTCGACTCCTCGCCTCACCACTGAGGCATAAAGAGAACTCTGTAACTGTTGCTGTGTCTTGTGTGTGATGGAGAATGGATGAGGAGAGACTTGTTGAGGTCGAGAAATATCTCGAGCTAAACAACCCATAGTCCCCTCATTATAAAGACAATGGCAAAAAAGATATTGTTTAGCGAGTCACAGCCCTGGAGACTGGCTCTTTAGGTGAGAAAGTTTAATTAGGGGCTGTTCATGATTTCAAGCTAATGCAGAGGTGTAAGTAAATAATAACTTTGTGTGGCCGTCTGTTGATGAGCTGCAGCGCAACACGTCCTGTGTGTGCTAGAGACGACACTTGACACGACGCCAGTGTCTTGGTCCCAACTCTGATACCTTGTGTGGCTCTGAAATGAGCTTTCCAAGGTATAAAAACATCATGGATTGAGTTTGATCCTTCAAGTTTGTAACTGAGCGCCTGAGTAACAAACTGTGTGGGTGGAGATTGAAGTTTAGAAGTGGGTGTTTACCATTCAGAGGGTCTAACCAAAGAGATTATGGGAAACCTAGATTCCAGTGTTTCCAGAGACAGACCCTGTGCTGCTTTGATTTTGACCAGACTTTTAGAAATCTCTCTTAAAGAACATTACTAAATTGCTTGAGTAGCGCTTTAGCATTCAGTCTAAATCATCTCAAAGGCTTCAGATTTAGTGCATTTAAAACTGTTCTTGCAGCAGACCTCAAACTTCTGCACATTGTAAAAACAACAGTAGAAGACTCTGAAGTCTGCTCCATGCTCTGCTGATGCTCTGCTCTTTTCATCTGGTCTCATAGTTTGTTTAGTTTTATAGTTTGTTCCTCCTCTGTGGCCTCCAGTCCATCGACCTTGACTCTCTGCAAATTAAAACAAAACCAACGAGCAAACAGTGGATGATAGCAGGCGATGGGGTAGAGCATGTCTTCCACCAGGGTGCAGATTTGGTGAGCTGTGGCGTCCCGTGATAAAGCCAGGCATCCAGGCTGGGAAACAAGACACCGAGTGAAACGACAGCGCTGCAGAGTCGGCGTCCCGCAGGGAATAGATGGTAGTCTGGGAGAGCGCTGTTGGTAAAATCCTTCATTTATTTATGAGTCTCAAAGGGACACTTGAGGGATGAGTGTATTTGGGAGACACAGTGCATGTCAGCGGGCAGTTTTGTGAGGAGGAAGATGTGGTGCTTCAGAGGAGTCTCCCTCATATGAATAATGAATTACAGATGCTAGAATAGACTGCCTACAGAGTGTGTGTGTGTGTGTGTGTGTGTGTGTGTGCGCGTGCATGCTTGCACCATTTTGACAGGGGGCATGTTTGTTTATTTAGCTGCATGATTGTAAAGATTGACTGAATAGAAATGTCAATATGCATTATGGGTATTTCTCACACTGGTTGTTAAGTGGTAGTTTTAAACCTGTTCAAACACACCTAGCCGCACTGATAAGACGCTGTTCAGAACTCTGGACAGCTCCCAAACTCTGTCAGCACCTATCTTGTACGTTACCGTCTCCATCACAACCCTAATTCATCGACGTCCAAAGATACAGTACTGGTACAATCAAAACTAGGATGTGAGATGAATTTTAGAAACAGTCATACAGCTGGGTTGCAGCGATATACTGGTTTAAAGGTAAACCGTGATACAAAGGTGACGGTTATCATACTGAGTACATTTGCTTATGTATGATATTGAAAATAATATGCAAGTGGATGTAAGATCTCGCCTTTATTTAGTTATTGTCAAAGGGGAACTTTTTACACATACTTCCATATAACAACAAAAAGGTTTCAAGTTTGTGTTATGGTAATAAAACATTTGTTCACCCCAAAATAACCCTGGTTATCGTGCTGGGAAAATGTCAAATCGTTGCAACCACAGTTGAAGAGAAAAAATACCAGCAGGGTTCAATGTTTTTTTGTTTGTTTGTTTATGTTAAGTAGGTTGGAAATCTACTTGCCTGAGACTTAAGATAATTATCATGTTTAATTTTTATGTAACCTGCACAGAACCCAGTTATGCTCCAAACAAATATTATAATGGTGGGTTTCTGCACCAAATGCACTCATAAGTCTGAAAAGCATAAAATAAAATAAAATAAAAAATAGAAGATAAAAAATAAAATAATTTAAATTAAATTAAATCAAAATAAATTAAATCAAAATAAAATGGATTAGGATAGCTTTATTTATTTATTTATTTATTTATTTATTTATTTAGTCCATTCCACTGGGCAAATAATCTCAATGCAGAAATCACTTACCAGTAAAAATGATAATAAATGGTTTTAACAGACCTTTTTTCAACGAAAAACATGAGATTGTTTATTTTTTATGAGTAATTTACTTATATCAATGATTAAAATGATGCTTTAAACCACCCTGCATATATATTTTGCAAAGTATTTGTCACCACTGCTCAGAATATCCTCAATTTTTGAAGCTTCTCCAGAAAACTGTGTTGAAAACCTCCTGAAATGAATATTCTGTGTACGTAATCAATAAAATGTCCTATAAACTGATTGTATCATTAGAAAATCAAATCAGAACTGTATTTCCCTTGTTCATTTTCCAATAATTCAGATCCACTGTCTGTTCCAATGGACGGATATTTAAAAAAAAAAGATCCTGAGTAAAAGCTATAAATCTTTCATATGATATTTTGACATACATACTGAATATGACATCTCATGTTTACTTTAAACACAGTTTAAACACAAATTTTGAGCTTTAATGATATGATTTAAAGACTGAAACGTGCCTTGTGCTTCCTCTTTGCCTCACGGTCGGCCATGCTAGTTTAAAAAAGGGGGCGTGGCTCACACTGTGATTGGTTTACAGACATCCCATTAAATAAGTCTGTGCACTTAGGTGGCGTCAGACGACAGAAATCAGATCTAAACATCCTTGAAATGTTACATCCATTGGATAGGATGGAGGATCTCAACAGGTTCAGTAGATGAATCAGAGTCAGGTTACAGTGTGTGGCAGATGCAAAGCAACAAACATTCTTGCGTATCGAAAATGAAAGTTTGCTGCAAGTTTCTTCCCAAAATTGCAGCCAGCTGCTCAAAACAAAGTTGGAGTATCGCCCACATCCTCAAACGCCACCCAGCTAAACACCTGTTACCAGGATACTGAAATGCTCTGCTCGTACATTTTGTTTTTACCTGCCAACATTTTCAGCGAGTGCCCGATCAGTACCATGCATCTCACAGCAGAGATGAGAAGGAGGCATGATGGCTCACCCTTAGCTACTTCCATCATCAGCTCTTGGAAAAACGAGGCATTTTACTTGCAGTCCTTATTGTTGAGTGCTGCATCAAAATCCCCCCTAATCTTATGTCAGGGAGTTTAATGGGTACCAGTGTGGCTACTGGATCCACTAACTGGCAGAACACACAATGAGCTGCAGCATGTTCTTTCTGTGTCCTTATCTGTCCCTCTGTTGGCCCGCACTTGCCGTCTAGTGGCCTGTATCCTGTCTCACACACTCAAATATGCTCATTCAGAGACCAGTCATGCACCTTCTCACACTCAGTGTCGTATACAGCCTGTTTCTGTTTCTTTTTTTCACTTTCTCTTCTGGTTTCTTCACTTTCTGTTTGTTTTCTCTAATCTGTTCCTGCTGCTTCCTGTCTTTTTGCTCCTGATATTTAACAGTCATGACACTGACAGTTACATATGCTGTACTCATGCTACATGTGTTCCTAGTGAGTGTGTTGGATACAGGGGCTGGAGGAAGGAGAAGGAACATGTGAAACACAGACGGAGTGGGCCTGTTTGTCACACAGTGGTTTGCAATTGACATTTTCCCTTCTGCTTTTTGTGAGTGCTGGAGTACATGTGACTGAATGTTTGGTTTCGGTTTCTGAATGAGCTGAGATCCTTGTACTTGTAGGTATCATTACGAGTACAGGGGTAATCTTATTATGACACTAGTCAAATGTCAGATTGATGTCTTTTATTTTCCAGAAGTGTGGACACCAGGGTGTACGAATCAAGCTCTCTGAAAAAAGAAGGAAGGAAGACAAGGGGACAGAAGAAAAGACGGACCGACGACAATAGAGTAGGAACTTTTCTCACAGCTCGTCTTCCTCCACACTCTCACCTCACTGCTCTCCAACATCGTCACAGCTTCACCAAGATGAAGCAGAAGGAGGACCTGAACCCCATGCTGCTGCTCCTCTTCCACCTCATGGTGTGGATCTACACCTTCATCACCTTCCTGCCCTCCTACATCCTCAGCTGGGTCTCCAGACCCGACGGGGGCTGCTACGGCTCCGAGGAGGAGCGAGCCAAGAGGGCGAAGGCCCGCTCGGTGCTGGGACGTCCCGAGGGACCCTACCGGGCAGTGAGTGCCACCAAGAGGTTGGTGACGTCGCTGCACCCTGGAGTGGACACCCTGGATAAGGTGTTTGAGCATGCGGCCACGAGGTTCCCACGCAGAGACTGTCTGGGGACGAGGGAGGTGATCAGCGAGGAGGACGAGCGACAGAGCAACGGGAAGGTGTTCAAGAAGGTAAAGAGTGATGCAGGAAGTGCGGTTATAGAAGTAACAACATAGTAAAGCATGCAAGGGAACACAATCTAATGAGTGCAGAGATGAAAAGGGCATTAAACACAACATCAGACATACTTATTAGCTTTCATTACAAGAGTTGAATGAAAAGATTGATACCAGTTCCATATCTGTTCATTGCATATAAAGCTACAGCCAGAAGCCAGTTAGTCTAGATTAACGTAAAGACTGGAAAGAGTTAACTTTATATTCAGTGTACAGATATAAGCATGCTATTGAACTCCTCATACAACTCTGCAAGAAATCGAATGAGCTGATTATGCACTGTCAATATCATCCACTACAAGCACTTTTAGTGGATGATATTGACAGTGCATAATTGCCATGAGTGGTGACATCACAGCCTGTTTCACTGCAGCAGCGTTCTCTCTACATCGTGTACCTGCCTTTCTGCTGCATTTGGTAAGGTGTCCTTTACCTGTCTGTGAGTATCAGAGAGCACAGAGGACAGATTTGCACAGTAACATGAATTTCATCCTCACATTGAGTGGTGTCAGGGAGTTGTCTTCTAATGGGGCCAATCCCAGTGTTCAGTGGTCTGCCAAAGAAAATCTCAAATGGGCTGAGACCACATCTGCTGCAATACTGGAGCAACTGCAAAAAAATGTTGTCTCTGTTATTTGGACACAAAAACATGGAGAGAAAAAAGACCAGGTTGAAAAATATCAAAGTTTCCCCCAAGAAATACACTTCTTACTGTGGTTTCCAGCTGTTTTAGGAGTTAGCAGTTAGGAGGATGAGCGGATGAGATGCCCATCCAGGGAGGTAATGTTATGTTGTCTTTTACTTGTTGGTTGGACAGTGGTGTCAAGGCATTTGCTTCGCTGAGGGCAGAAAAAGGAAGACTGATTACAATCAGTAGATTTAAAAATAAGTGAGAAGGAACCTAGAAAGAAGGAGAGAGGACAGTCAAATCAAAATGGGATTCTTCAAAATTGTAAGCAGCCCTCATTTTAACCAGGGAGCAAGGCAAGGATTGACCCCCAGCTAGCACTTCCAGAGCAAACAGTCAACCACGGCGCAACTGTCTGACTGAGTTTAACCAGCTAGCATGGGATTAGAGGTGCACCTGTCCCATCCTAGCTACCTGAGCCAACATCACAGCCTCTGTTCATCCTCCTCTCTGTATTAAAGGCATCACTACCTGGTGCACTACTGTTTCCTCCGTCCCATCTGAGGAGAGGAAACAGGATAAAAAGAAGAGTATGAAAAGTAAAGTACAGATTTGGTCCCATCATGCAGGCTAGTGGCACGTTTCACATCCATGTCATGTGCTTCCTTTCAGAAAATCTACTAATTTATACAAACACCTGATTCACAGATTATCTTGAAAGCTATTTCAGCATTCAGTGTAAACTTTGCCCAGCAGAAAGCTTTGAAACGTATCAGCGTGCTGTTAAGGAGTTAACCAACATTACACCACTAATCCCAACAGCCTGATCCTTCTAATCCAATTAAAACCCCACTGTTGAAACCTTTAATGCTGCAAGAGAGCGTGCCTTACTGTAGCTGTTTACTGTTCCCAACAAGTGGAACACTGTACAGTACAGTCATCGTTACAGTGAGCCTCTTTGTGTGCACTACCATGCATGAACCATTGGGAGCCAGTATAACCTCACTCATACATGCAGGAAGCTGCTGTGTGTTTGTGGCTGTTACCTGTCATGAGTGTAACACTGAGAGGTGAAGAGTAAATCCAGAAGCCTGTGTTTATGTTCCTCTTGTGCAGATGATGTACATGAAACACTACAGCATGAGAAGAGGAAGTAGCTGTGTTTGGCAATAGTAAACTGTTGCTCCCTTTCCTGTGTCTTTATAATGTGAAACAGGCCAAACGTGAGTGTGGGATGTGCTCCTGCGGTAAGATGTACCAGCAATCATGCGTATTGATTCAGTGGCTCAGTACATCCTCTAAATGGTCACAAAAAGAACTCAGTGTGACACTGAGTCAACACTGGGAACTGAGCCTTTATAAATACAATGATTTGGAACATTGCATCCTTCCTGTCTTTATATATCGCACTCTTTTATTCCCCTTGTGCTTCATAACTAACAACATGTCTCTCTAATATCCTCCCACTCCCCTCTGTCCACCTGCAGGTGGTTCTGGGTGAGTACTGCTGGCTCTCCTATGAGGAGATCCACACGGCAGCGTCGCAGCTGGGCAGCGGTTTGGCGTCACTGGGGCAGCGGCCAAAAAACAACATAGCCATCTTCTGTGAGACACGAGCCGAGTGGATCATCGCCGCCCAGGCCTGCTTCATGTATAACTTCCCATGTAAGTGCAGCTATGTGTGAGTATGGACACAGGAATACACAGAGGAAGGTCGACGAGTAAAGCTACCACCTCATGAAAAGGGGCGTTTTTGCCCTAATTTTTGGAATAAGGGCAAAAACTGGAACACTTTGTGCATGTAAGTCAATTCTAATGCCGGTAGCTAAAGTTAGTGGTCACAACTGCACTTTTTCTGTGTGGCCCTCAATCACACGCCAGCTCCCTAAATTGGTAGTGAGTCATGAAAACTTTGACCTCTGCACTGTAGAGCACTTTCAGTTTTGGTAATACTGCAACTTTAAAAGCGACTCTGTGTACACTTTCTATTCACTTTTGGCTTTCCCACTGTGCTTCTTCCAAATGTGTTTGAATTAGGCTGATTTATAGCTATTTCTGTTTATGCGTGCGTGTGTGTGTGTGTGTGTGCGCGCACGTTAGTGGTTGCAGTGGACAACTTGTAACACGCAGGGCCCAGCTGAGCAAAAGAAGGTCAATTTGTCCCTTCTGCCTCGTGTTACATAAGTATCCCACATCCTTCACTCCTTTTTTTCCCCCTCCATCCATTTCGTTTTCTTGTGATGGAAACTCAAATACTGATATTTTATACATCGTCACCACTTATGCTTTGGTTGTGCTTTTGACAGAAGGCGTATTTTGTACTGGAAAGTGGTTCTTTCAGCTTGTAAAGAAGTAATCCAAAGAGCAAAATGCTGTGCCTGTCAGCCTAACAAAGTTTTTGGTTCCTTCAGGTGAACAGGTCAAGACGAATCATTCAACGCTAGCACAAAGCTGACAGCTAAAGGGGATATTTTTATTTTTATATTTAGAATTATGACGTTAAAAAAAGCAGATTTACTTCAGCAAAATGATCTTCTCGGGATAAAAAGACGTTTTCCAAACCTGCAAACTGTAAATTTTGAAGCTACTGCAGCTCTCTCCCCCGAGGGCTCGGTGCAGAATTACTCTTTAACATGTTTCAGCCAAAGAGTACTTTTTCTTACTATGAGCATCCACGGCAGCACTTTAAGCCCATTAATTCTTCGCGATTGTCCTCGCAGCACCCTTCATTTTCCCCGTTTTCTTGAGTTTACACTCCATTAAACTGACATGCTTTTAAAAAAGCGCTGCGAGTCCGAGCCAATAAAGCATCTTTATAAAGCGTCCTTCTCTCTTGCGAACACAAACATTGGCCCGAGGCGGTGCATAACACACAGTGCGGGGGGTAGAAAAGGAGTTAAAGGTTGAGGGAGAGATGGAGGGGAGTGAGGAGAGGGAGAGAAGTGAGGGGTGATGGCGTCAGAAGAGGGGTGAGAGGGTGTACGTGAGCATCTGATGTTGACAGAGGCATCAAGGAGTCAGCCAAAGGCCCCCAGTGAACTCAAACACTCGGTATGTGTGCGTGTGTGTGTGTGCATCATATATTTACTGTTTATTAGCTCTTTGTTAGATGGAAAATCATCATCAGTGAGTTCTCTGAACTTGTCATATATGTGAGTTAGATAAAAGAGCAGCAGTTACACCACCACACTCTCTGCATGAGGCTGGTGTCACATAAAAACACCATAACTTCAATTTTGGGTGCTTCTAACATCTGAGCGACCTCGTAAAGACCCCGTTTGTGGAACTGAAAAGAGAGTGGCAGAGTTAACACAGGGATGAACATCTTACAAACTCTGTCCCTGCTGAGGAAAGCCTGGACCTCTGTTACGATTTCTTGTGTGTGTGTTTGTGTGTGTGTCGAGCTGGAGCCCAAACGAGTGTTTAGATCTCACGGCTGGAGGTGTCATGGCCCTCATCCACACTCACTCACGCACACACAGTAGCAGAGCAGGAAGTAGTAGAGCTCCATGACGCAAGACTGTGATGTCACTAAGCCCTGTCCCATAAACCCATGTGTCTGTGTCAGCGTGGAGACGCAGGGTTGAGGACCTCGTTACTTTGTGTTGCTCTACCTCTCCTGGCCTTTCTTCCTCTTTTCATTTGTCTGTCTACTGTCATTTCCTCATGAGACCGGTGCTCCCTCTCTCCGTCTCTTTCACCCTCTTCCTCTGTGCGTCTCCTCTCGGATGCAAGGGATGACCTGGAGCCAGTGTGCTTCTGGTGCTTTGATCTTTCAACAAACACATACAAACACACGCACACTCGAGCACTTATTCGCACAGAAAAAGCCACTTTTTTTAGTCCCACTTCACCCAAAAATATTTTGCACTTGAGCTTCACTGTGCAGAGAGTCTACATTTGACACTTGAAGATTGTTTTCACATTCATCGTCTAAAAGGGGAACGGATTGTCGAGCTTAAAGATATACTATGCAATATTTTTTCAGCTACTGTTTACAAACAGTATTGCCAGTGAATGTGACGGCCAACCCCAGATTCAATTGACCTTTTGCTAAGCCCCGCCCCTTTGTGATGGTCCAACCAGCTGTCAGCTTAAGCATGAGCCCACACTGTAACTAACTGCACTCCCTGAAGAGATATTATCATGTTTTAGGAAAAACTGAAACAGAGATTCCAGAGAGCAGCAGACAGAGGGGTCTACAGTCTGTGTTTGAAGGATATATCCAGGATGTCAAACTGACTCAGCAGCAACAACAGGTTAAAAAGACAAAGATAGTTAGAAGCTAAAGCCGAACTATAGGCTACAGATCACAGTGTCAAAGTGAACCACCACATCACTGCTGATCGCCACACAAGACAATGAATATAAAGGGAAACTTTGCTGATACTGAACCAGCTGTGTGGCATCGCAGTGTGTGCAGATGAATGGTGTTTGGCACTGCCTCTGTGCCGCTGCTAGCACCTGGACCTCTGCTGCCAGACAGGCAGGGATCACATGGGGAAGTCAATGTGATGACACAGAGCTGGTCGACTATCAGCAAAGTTTCCCTGCTTCCCTTCACTGGTTCCTGTACAGCAGGGTCGGTCTTTGTTTCACTGTTATAATCATTAAAAAGCAAAAGCAGCATGTGTATACGTTCAGTAGGGTATATATCTTCAGTAGCTAGCTAGCTAACCCTACACTTTTCAGGGTATGATTATGGTTTTGGAACAGGGAAGAAACCAGTGGCGGCTGCTGGTCTTTCAAACAAGGGAAGCTCACGTTAAGTTTACATCATAAAATTTGTCATATTGTAGCAAGGCAGTAACTTATAAAAGGAACATTTAATTGAAGCTGTTTTTCAACCACACTCATGCCATAGAACCACAGCAACACACACCTCAAAGATCTTCAGATGGGTTTAAACACCTGAACTGTGGTGTATTTCTTATGGAAATCAGGAACTCCAGACGGCACTCTGTCAGAAGACTCCACTCGCCGATGCCGGTGTGTATTTCCAAAGCGCTGTCAATCACAAAGGGGTTCAGCCTCTGAGACAATTCCTCCAATCATCATGCAGACACCGAGCGTCCTCTCCTGCCTACCGCTCCATTAGGTCCCAGGGAAGCTGAGCCTCCCTGGAAGTGGCGATTTTGTCGCATTTATCCAATGAGCGTCTCGCTTTGCTGCATGAAAAAAACCTGCTCAGCGCTGTCTCATAGGAATGCTTGGAGGCTCCGCGTCCACAGTGCTGACATGAGAATGTATGACAGGGAGGTCGCGTTTGGAAACTGGTGATAAACAGCTGACGTTTGAACATCATAGTCATGATGTGAAACGCATCCTAGCGCTCTTATTTTAATGTAAATTCAATATAGTGCATATTTGACCATTTCTTCTATGAAATTTTAGGGGAAGTTCAGCCTGCCTTGTTGTCTCAGAGCAATCGCCCCTGGAAGAAACGTATATCTTTTTCCAACCTCTCCTGGTAATGAGTATCATTAATACACGACGTGCTCCAGGCACAACATTTAGCTCCAAATCCACAAACCAGCCTGAAAATGAAGGAAATCTGAGATGACTGCATTAGAGTCAATGGAGCACAGCTGTGTTGTTGTTGGACCCTGGTCTGAGCCAGCCTGATGCTACGTTATGATTGGCCAGTCTGTGTTCAGGGGCGGGACTTATCAAAGGGTCACTGCCAATCCTTACATTTACATTTTATTCAGCGATGTAGCTTCCTCTTGGACGCATGCTGCCAACGGTCTGACACCTGGGGCCGTATTCAGAGCTTCCTACAAGATTTAGAAGATCTCAGTGCCAACCTCTAAATTATGTTCCACTGGGAAGCGGTCAGAGATGTATTTAGGTCATGCTCCCGAGCCAGCTGGACAGAAAAATATACATTAAGAGCAGCTATAGATGTTAAGTTACAGATATCTGAGACCACACCTCTTGCCCTTCTTTAGCAGCTGATCCCACTCTGGACACGAGGCAGGAACTGCTCCTTCGTCACATTTCTAGTGCTCATGTGGCTCAATGGGAGCAAATCCCCAAAGCCAGGTTCTATAATCGTGAGGAGAGCCTTCAACAGGAGGAGTGGAGGCTGTTATGGGAGCATATTGATGATATCGTATAGGTTTGTGAAGGCATCTTCAAAAGTAACATAGGGGTGTAATGTTGGGGTGTCCATCTCTTTCTCAGTGATCTAATGTCCTCTCGAGGAAACACAACGTGATTTAATCAAACCACATCATATGTTGAAGACACAGATGATTCAGTATCTGCATGCAATACAAGATATCAAACTCTAAGGCTGATGCTCCTTTGTGGACGCGTTAATCCAAGCACACATACCAGCGCTCCATCAGAAATATGCACTTAGTCACAACACACACACACCCGCGCATACCAGTACTGTTTATATCCCAAAAAGAGTGCTTGTCAGGCAGTGAGAGCTTGTGTCCCATTGGCTCGCATGCTGTGCTGAGGCCTCTTGAGGTGCTTGATGATGTCATCGGCATGGGAGGGGCCAAGTCTGAACGACTGAGCGGTGTCGACGGAGCGCACGTACATGGTTTATTTTCACATAATGCTTCACTGTCTAAAGCATGACTGCACACACACACAAGGACCAATCGATAAGCTATAAGACATTATTTATATTATTTATTGAGTCCTCTTTTTCTGTTGGTGTGTTTATCTATGTTTAATCCACTGCACAAAGCAGCCCCTGTACATTATAGTGCAGTCCGATACAACAGGTCTCCGACAGAGTCAACACACACACAGCTACAGCCAACTAACCAGAACATTTAAGGTTATCAGAGGCTTCAGATCGACTGTATCTATCTCTGTCCTCTCAGCCAGTCGATGTACTGACTGCAGCTTCAAGCCTTCAGATCTCAGGGGTTAGTTCAGTGACACGTCCCTTGGTTCGGACATCTGGCTGACATTTTGGAAAAGGCATACTGGCATGGAGTCACTGCCTGGAGCCAGATCATACGTTTATTCCACGAAGTACTGTGTGACTTATAGCCAGTAATGTTTTCTTCCTGTGAATTAATTTTGTTGCAAAAGCGTCACTGTCTATTAGTCATGATTTACTCGAACCAAGGTCTATGATATGTGTGTATTTGTATATCTGTATTTATATATTTTTTGAAGTGGTAAAGTTGCAGCTCTGCAGTTTGAATTCAACAAGAGAGAGCAGCTCTCTAAAATACTTTTTACCCTTAATTATGTACGACAAAGTGAGTTCAGTCAGCAGGGTCTGATATATCATGTCTAGAAATGATTACCTTTGTCATGATGATGTGTAAATACAATGAAGAAACAAGACAAATGGAATATTTATTTAGTTTTTTTGGTATATTGTGTTTTCTTGTGGGTGTGTGTTGCAGTGGTCACCCTTTACTCCACACTGGGAGGTCCAGCCATCGCTCACGCACTGAATGAGACTCACGTCACACATATCATCACCAGCAGAGAGCTCCTGGAGACCAGACTCAAGGTTAGAACACACTCCAACACCACAGGAAATATGGCATTTGTTTCAAAGCTCTAGGTAGTCAGTGGCATTCAGGCATCTTAAGCACTGTGGCGTAGTGGTAACGACACTTCATGTAAACTCCACTTGAGTATTTGGCCTCCGTAGAGGGAGCAGCGACACTCAGTCATCTGGCTCTGAATTTGAGGCAATTTCTTCCACAGATGTATCATGTGCAATTGTGCATCGTTAGTTCAGACATTTTGTTGTAACAGGCAAAGAACAATAACCAGCAGTGATGATTGGTAATTTGGTAATTAAGTTGAGTATCTAAATCAGAGTCCTGCACAGGTCCATTTTTGAAAACCTGCGCCCGCCCATACCCATAAAGGTCAGTACTAGAACCAACCTGTTACCCATCATTATGTCTAAGTCAAAGCCACACCCGTTCGCACGCGTTAATAAAAGTCCCACAACCTGACCTACACCTGTGATTAAATGCACACAATCTACAGTCACTCACATTAAGCTGGGTTCTCCGTTCTTAAATAACAAATCCAGTGGAGGAGACGTGTTTTTTACTCGCTGCACTTGATGCCGGGATGGTGAAAACATTATGCACACTCACTGGATGCATTCAAGGATCCTTCTTGGGTGTCTTGAACTCAGTGTAGGCTACCACCTCATCCTCGGGCTGCAAAGTTTCATGGCTGGAGTCCTCCACGTCGGTGCTGAATGTGATGACGGGGTCAAAGGTTCAACTTGTGTCATTGACTTTCAAAATAAAATTAAGTGTGGCTTGATAATAGTGATTTATATGTCAAAATATTACACATATACTGCACATCTTTTCTTCTGAACAATAAAAAGAATATTTTTGTTTTTACCCGCTACCCACCCATGCCTAGTTTTTTTTTTACCTGGTACACAGCTTTTTGCATGTTACGCGTGGGTAACTGATCTCAATATCAAAATTTCTTGCAATAAATAAACAGATATTAAAGTGTTCTAATGTCTGCCTCTCTGCTGCTTTCATACACTGCTGTAATATCAATAAGTTGTTGTTAAATTAATTAAAAAAAAGGAAAGTATTTCCAATTTTCTTTTATTAGAGAAAAATCTTAAAAAACTTAAAAAACTTAAAAAATTCCCTGAGTGCAATATCACAGCCCACGATGTGTTTGATGGAAGAAAAAACTTTCTGCAGCCCTAGTGGGCACTAGAGGCCAACACCAGCAACAGCTTCTGGTCCAAAACCATCTTGTCCCAAAAAGCTGAAGGACATAATGAAAAAGTGGTAAAGAAGATGTAAGAGATCCACCCTGTGTAGACAGTCCAGAAAAATATTGCATGGTACTTTTCTGCAAACCATGAGAACAATGTACATTTGCACATTTTCATACGTTCAAATCAACGTTTCTAAAGTGACAGTTTATGAACTGACTTTGTCATCTGAAGGTGGAGGAGATGGTGGGTGGTGTGACACTAAGGCGACACCTGCCATACTGCAGACCACTGTGTGAGACAGACAGCAAAATCAGTTGCCGTGTTTCCAGCTGCTTTTTAGGCACCAGTAGCAGTTGCTTTCTACCCAGATGTTGTTGCTTTTCCTGCAGGCATAGTGGCACAGAAAGCGGTTGATTTTTCTACCAAGACATCGCTGCTTTTCCTGTCGAGACTGTGGCCCCGAAAACATGTATCTTAAGCCAAAACATGATGTTTTTCTAACCATAACCGAGAAGATTTAGTGCTTAAACCTAACCACACTTTAACTGCAGCACTGTTGAGAGGTAAAGTTCAGACACATCCCTTACATAATAATGTACAAATGTAACATTTTAGTGGCTTGCAGAGTTTTTGAAGTCGAGCTTGAAGTTTGAAAAATGTTTTCAACAACAAAATTACAGAAAGTCCAAAACTGTCATAAAAAGTTTGATATAATCTGAAACACAGCTTTACACGTAAGATTATGTTTTAAGATACATTTCTCTTCATCTCAGTCTACAAAAGCTAAGTAAACTAAGCTGAGGTGGGTTTACATCACTGGTCCAGAGTCTGTCAGTGCTCTGACATCAAATTGTCTCTGGTCCACCACTATCCATCAGAGGGAATCTGAGATACTGGGACAGTGCTTATCGAGGTGGAGGAGCGGCGCAGAGTGTCACCACAGAGACATAAAAACAAGAAGCAGTGCACATGCTTGATATTAAGAGCTTTGGACAGGTGCAATCCCCAAAGACAAATCGTGCTCTGGCAATTCATCTCCTCTTTTATCAAGGTGGTGTAAACTCAGCTCCTCTGCTCACTCTCACACATCCCCTCATAGCCCAAATATTGATGAAGACGATGTGCATGGAGTTTGTAGAAAACCTGGTTCTTGTCATTTGTTAACGACGTGAACACGGCACGTGGATGCTTGTTATATTTGTGCTCGTGCTTACATTTGTGTCTGTCAGGATATCCTCATTGAAGTTCCGAGGCTGCACCATATCATCGTGGTGGAAAACACACCGACCTCGTGGCCCGGCTATCCACGTGGCATCAGCGTGCACAACATGGCTGCTATACAGAAGCTGGGAGACAGGCCAGAGAACGGTAAGCTTCAAATGAAGACATGTTAAAGCACTGTCAATTAAAACTTTTGTAGGTTTTATTGAAAGTAGTCGGTCAAAACCACCTCAACCAAAAGAGCACCGCCCCCTTACATTAGATCAGAAGTATCACTATCAAATGTAAAGCTTCACCCGTGTGTTTCATACTGTGCATCTCTGTTGTTTCAGTAGCTTAGAGGTTAAGTTACACTCCTAACGGGATGGTCATGGCGGATTTTTCTTGTGGGCGGATTGGTATCAGTCCCATTAGGTCATGTGAATGAGGAAGTGCTCACATCTGTGTCAGATTAAGGTCGATACGACGCTTATTCAGTTAGCGGACTAGATGGATGAGGACAAGTCTTCGCCCCCTCTTTGCCTTCTCTTGTGGCCCCTTGAACCGACTGACCCAAAACAAGAGAAGCTGGTAGTGTCATGTGCAGATAAAGAGAGAAGGAAGTAGGTTTAGGAAGGGAGGACGGAGCACTGGGATATAGGGGAGGGTCATGTTTACAGACAGCGCTGTTAACTTCACATGACATCAACTCTCAGAGCTCGCACTCCTACATGCCGCATATCTGTGTAAGAGGAAGAAGAGGGGCTTGTGACTGTAATGTGATCTACTCTCCTTTATGTCTCTGTTTATCCTGCGTTTGGATATTCAGGCCCGCTGTGCTCAGAGGAGTGAGGAGTACACTGCTGCTCGCCAAGCAAACCACCAACTGGTTTTGTTTCCCACTTTGAACTGACTTGATCTTTACTTGTTGAGTCAGACAGGAGGCCCAGAGACACGTGACTGTCTCTTCAACTGTCTTCTAGTTCTTGGTTTGACCTGGATTTTAAAACTCGCAAATGATCCTTCAACTTCATGCAACAGTGACATGAATCATGAGAAAGAGGGAAGCTGTCCTCAGGCTCCCTTCAAGGCCGCAGATGTACTTAATCCTAAACCATGCGTTAGCGCGGACAAGCGGCTGCATCTTAAATTGTTGTTTAAATACTTGCCTATGCACTACACGGGTTACAAGAGGACTTCACCAGAAGGCACAGCAGTGAGCTGCTGGATTTTCACAATGTAAACAATAAACAAAGTGACACTCAAGGAGGTCGCTATATTGTAATTCTACGATTATTGTTTATTCAAGGATCCTCATTAGAAGCACATGAACGTGCCTCTGATCACACTGAAATACAGTACAAATATAAAATAGGAGTACAGACAAATTGAGATCTAAAAACAATCAAAATACCAAACTGATACTTAGATTAAAGAAATTAAGGATAATGTAAACACAGACTAAATTAGATGAGCCAAACATACGGCCTGTGGGCCAGAACCAGCCCGCCAAAGGGGCATATCAGGCCCAGTAGATGACTTGGCTAAGAGGTGCCAGGTTTCTAGAGCAAGTTAAAATATAAGTCATCAACCCTGCCAGCACAGGGGGCTCCTGCAAAACAATATATGGTCGTCCATCTAAAAGTAGAACCTGGTGCAAGTTTTGCTGCAACACAACGGGACATCCTCCACCAAGACTCTGTGTTGGCCAGTCACATGCAAAAGCACATTCCTGGTGAATTCCTTTATTGAAAAGACAATGTGTGCTTAATGTTTACCCCGTGACTGTCACAATGAAAGAGTGAATAGTTGTGATATCTTTCCAGAGTTGTAGGATCCTGCCTCATAGTATTAAAAATTGCTGGGCGTCTGATGAGCTGTCAGATTCACAGATCGATTATTTTTTATTTCAGTTGTTTATTTTTACAGGGACAGCGCACAATGAAAAGTAATTGCGCCAGAGTTAAAATAAGAGTTAAATACATAAAAAACAAAACAATACATAAAAATCCATCAGTGTGAGATAAAATCAGTATGATAAATACAATAAATTCATTCAAGGCAATCATTGGTGGTGACATGTTTGTGCTGACTTTAGCCAAAGCTTGAGGCTGGTCACACTGGACTTTCTGGATTGTATGTCATTGTCTCACCAGTGCCTGAGGCAACACCCCCAATCACCGCAGCTCCTTGCCTTGTTTTCAATCAGGACTCTTTTCAGTCTGAACACCAGCTTATACTTGAAGTGAAGTGCTTGTTCAGTGTGACATTTCCACCCACTGTCACACTGTGGAGGTGAGAGAGAAGTCAGGGTTTAAAATTACTGGCTCTCTTTTTTATTTGTAGCACAACTGTTTCTGTCACTTTCTCATATGTACAAACAAGAGTATCATCATAAATTCCTTTGCAGACAGATATGTGAGTAAGTGTGTGACGTTATTCCCATTTGTAGGATTTGTTGCACCTTGCCCCTCGCTCTGATTGCAGGATTTTTCTGCTCCACCTTCAAGTGTAGCTATTTGGAACGGCTACAAACACCTGTGCCTTCAGATGTGGTTGGATGACATGTAGTAAAAACTAGTTTGCACCACAGTCTGCACACACCTTTTAGTATCAACTGAAGAATCACACTTGTATGAGAGTACTTGATTTATTAGGGTACTTGAAAACAGATTCAGATTCAGGCAACTTTATTAATCCCACCAGGTGCAATTTGTTTGAACAGCTTGCCTTGCACACACTACAACACAACATACAGTAACATGTAGACACATAAATAAATGAGTGATAAGATAAGAAAACAGACATAAAGAAATATGCAAAGGTGTTCAGTGGAATAAGGGAATCTACAAACAATAAAAGTTAATAGACAGTTTATCATAAAAGAGATATAAAAACAAGAATTTACAGAGAATTTAAAAGACGAATAGCAGAGGGATAAAAAGATGTTGAATACTGGTTAGTTCTACGAGCAGGTAAAGTGCTCTGACTGCAACAGAGAAAATTCACCTGCAAGAACATGTCCAGAAGAAGCTTAAATAGCTGTGGTAGTTTTCTGGGGGGTTTTTCAAAAAGTGTAGGCACGAAGACGGACACACAAGCGCAAGCAAACACAACCACAAGCTGCTCCCTGGTCGCACAGGAGGTGTGAGCGCCCTGGACAATTTGGCTCCTGGAACATGCATTGAATGCAATATCAAAGAAGATTCAGGCCTACAAGGTGACTTGAAGTCCAAAACACTAAGATGAAAGTCAGGCCTGGATTAACTGAAGAAGACATAGTGCCCTCCACATGTGCACAGTTGGAGTTCTAATAAGAGAAAAAATAAACAATGAGATTAAAGAGGAAAGAGTGGGGAGAATGAGAGGTAATGGAAGTGTCAGACAAAGAAGAGGAATAGGTAAAAGAGCAGAGATGGGGAAACAATGAGGAAAGACTAAAGTGGAGGAGAGTGAGAGGAAGACAAGAGATGGTGTTTCTGGCGAGCAGAGTCGGACGCAAACTCCTCAGTGTGCCAAGACGGGCCTGGTTGTTTAATATCACAGCTGACTATTTTCCGTCCACGTGTCTGAACTCTTACACAGACTCTATTGAATTACACACACTTTAATATTTTCCTTGGCCTTCGACACCCTCTGCATTTTCTTTTATTTAATCTGTTTATCCAGCTCACATGCACAAATGAAACAGACAGATGCATGTGTCTGTGGACAAGGTTTAAACAGTGATATATTTTTGTGCAAGGCTGTGACAGTTCAGTCTGTGTTGTGTGTGTGTGCAAGTTTTGGGGCACTCAGCTCACATGCGTGTTTATACATCTGTATGTGTGTGTGTTTTCACATTCGCATTACAGCAGCACGTGAGCGAAAGCAGCCGCTGCCCTCAGACATGGCAGTCATCATGTACACCAGCGGGTCCACAGGCATACCGAAGGGCGTCATGATCTCCCATAGCAACATCATCGCTGGCATCACAGGCATGGCCGAGAGGATACCCAACCTGTGGTAGGCAACACAAACTCGTATCTAATAATCCTAATCATATCTTAAGGAACGTGATATATGTGTGACAGACACTTTTTTCATCATAGTAGTATAGTGAGACCGTACACGCAGCATTTTTTCAGTGATGTTTGGTCAGATTTGTTGTCTAGTTTATCGTCTTTGACCAGATTTTAAGCACAACTTTCGTCGACTCAACAAAGGTTTGGCAGGAAGACATGTTCACATTCCTCAAGGAACAAAAACAGATATTGCATCAGCATAAAAAATGCTTATTTGCTTTCTTGCGAAGAGTATGAGAAGATTGATACCACTCTCACAAAGCTACAGCCAGCATCTTAGCTGAGTGCCAGCCTATGGCATAGGCAGTATAGGTGAATGCTAAGGGCGCCATCATGCATAGGGGGCGCCAAACTACTATTATTTTGAAATATTACATAAGGACACAACAACATAACTACATAGCAAAGCCTGCTAAATAATAGCAGCAGGAAAAGAGCTGGTTATCGTTTCCTCTAAGCAGCCGGCGGCCCAATGAACAGCTCGCAGAGGCTGCACAGATTTACATTGTCAAGTGTTCAAGCTCTGTTTCAGTATTAGGCGAAGGTAGATTGTAACCTTCTCATGATGTGTTTAATTTAATTTTGTAAAATGTATCTTTTGGCGAGAAACTTGGATAAATCAGCTGTTTGAAGGATAAATTTGTTGAAGTTTTCACAGCACTATAAACTAGATATTAGAGAGGGAATTATGATGTATCATATACAGTAAAAAGGCTTCTTGCTCAAAGTGACATTTATTTATATTTTATATATTTTTATAGAGTAGATTTCTGTGTTTCCCTGGCACAAAAGAAGAATAAATAATAATTTAAAGCTAGTCCATACCTATTGGTAGCTTTGTCACCTTCTACCTATGCCAATCCTCAGTGCCTATGTGCAGTTTCACATAGACTGACCACGTCAGTGAGTAGAAAAACGTGGGACAGACAGAATGACTGACTGACGGAATGACACACTGACAGTTTCCATGATTATGTACAGCATACCATACCATGACTTAGTCATACCAAACATTAGAAAAAAAACCCAACAACATTGGTCCACAGGGGGAGCCACAGCGATCGGTCACATTTTAGCCATTTTGAAGCATTTTTCTGTTGTTATAGCGCCACCCAGTTGCCAATTAGAGTTAAATTTCTCCAGTCACCTTGAGGCGTCCTGTTCTACATATCTACCAAGTTTAGTAAAAATCCATATGGCAGTTAGGCCTAGATAAGAAATGAGCTCTCTAGCGCCCCCATTTTGTTTGATGGGGTCAATAATGGAGGGGTCCCCTCAGATTATGTGTGGTCATATGCCTACAAAGTTGCGTGGTGATGGGTGAAACCCTTGAGATGTTATACACCTTTATGTGATGAGCCACGCCCTCCGCAATATTCATTGCCTTATAGAAGCTCAGTTTTAGTAAGTTTTCCAACTTTTGCCAAGAGGGAACTTTAGATATTGGTCCCTAGATTATGTTCACCCAGTTTCATGCAGATCGCTCAAACTTCCTAGGAAGAGATCCATTTGAAGTGTTTTTCAAAAAATTCAAAATGGTGGAAAATCTATATAAGCGGAAGTTATGGGTTCTTGAGGCAAATGTGTTCCTCATGAGGAGAGGCATCTCTGTGCAAAGTTTCATGTCTCTACAACATACGGGGCATGAGATATGCCCATTCAAAGTTTGCAATTTCAATCAGTTGCTATAGCGCCCCCCTTTGGCCAATTGATGTAATATTGCTTCATTCTCATCCTCCCATGACCCTCTACCACTGTGCCAAATTTCACATGGATTGACCAAGTCAGTGAGGAGAAAAACGTGGAACAAATACACACACAGAGTTTTCATCATTATATAGTAAGATAAAAGAAACACCAATATAAAAACATCCATATCGGCTGATCAGTGTCAGCCCTGAATTTCAAAATCAATGCATCAGTAGTTCAATTAGGAAGTTAATGTGTACATTTTATTATTATTTTACAATGTCATGTATTATATTTTTGTTTATTCCTCTGAACTAATTAATTTGTAATTTTTTTTTAATAATTATTGATTTATATAATATATTTATATAATTAATATAACACATGTACAACATGTTACTGAAAGCAAATTAGCACATATTTTTATCTTGTTTTTTTTTTGTTTTTTTGTTAATTTGTTTGTTTATTTGCATTTTGGTAATAAATGTGCAGAACTCTGTTGAGTTACAGCACCAAATGTGCTGAGACCGCCACTGGCATAATGACTGGAAACAGGGGAAACAGCTGGCCTGGCTCAGTCTGATGTGACAAAATCAGCCTACCAGCACCTCTAAAGTTCGCTGTGATCACTGTGAGGTTCAAGACAAAGTTTTTGCATGGACTGGACTGGATTACACATAATTTCTATCACTATTATTGTTCACCCAAAGTGAGCATATATTTGTTTGTTTGATATATATTTATGCCTGAGAATGTTTCCTCAGCTCAGTGTATCTGAAAAGGAAGCCAGCAGTTTCAGCACAGTGACACACAGGACATTAACATCTTCACCACTGCTTAAATCTCCACTTTGACTCGTCTTAGTTGACCCTGGCTATATGCTGTCGGCTATAAGGTCGAGTGAGAGCGATGAGTTTAAGGAGAAATGCCAAATGCTCTTTCGGGCTAATTTCTTGGCCGGGCTTTCCATGTCAACGAAGCACGTGCATAAGTATGAGTCAGCCGGCTCTTACCATCATGCAACAAATGTTTACATTAAAACAAAAAGCAATCTTTCTCTCTGGGGTATGAGACGGGGGTGGGAGGAAATGCAGAAGGAAGGGAGTTCAGTATGAGTGGAGGAAAGAACGGGGAGGGTGGGAGTTGGGGTGAGAATGATGGAGGTTAGAGGGATTACGGATGTCATGATTTTAATCAGACTTCTTATGAAAATAATAGCTTTCCTTTGGGTATTAAGTAATAAGACTGTGTAAACCTCCTCCTCATGTATACTCTCAATTGCCAACATGTCCACTGAAATGTAATTCTCCTGGATTTAGAGGATCCAGAAGCACTGGTGTTCAGATAAAAATTGGACCAGTAGATCATTGTAAAGTCTAAGCAAAGGAAAGATGGCCCCCGTTTTGTGCAGATAACCTGATGCAAGGCGTTCATCTGCAAAACATTGCTATAGTATGATATATGACTCCAGAGACTGAAGCTAATGCTTGATTGAGATGGTGCAGATTACTCTCAGAGGATGTCTCAAAGAGTGCATTTGTCTTCACAGTGAGGAGGACACCTACATTGGCTACCTGCCTCTCGCCCATGTGCTGGAGCTCAGCGCAGAGCTCGTGTGTATTGCTCACGGCTGCAGGATCGGCTATTCCTCACCTCAGACTCTAGCTGACCAGGTAACACAAGACTGGAATGTGTTTGCTCAAACATAGCGTTGTGATTAATTTTTAGCTTCCTGTGGTTGCTTGGGTTATGACAACTCTAAATATTGATGCATTTAAGAGCCTATTACGTCCTGGTGTTAACATGCGTTTCAGTGACCTGAACACTAGCAGACAGCTGACACATGTCATTGTTCACACCTGCGTCTGTAATGCTTCTCGACCTGACCACCTGAGTTTAAATTTTGTTATTGGCCACGTCACTTAAGCTAGAAGGTAAAAGGGTCCTGCACAAAGTTATTATGACCCAGTCTCACTACGAAGTCGTCAAAAACCAGTGCTTGGTCAGTGACTTCCAGCGTCAGACAAAGACGAAAACACCTGTCTTTTCACGTCGTTATGATGCACGGTTGGTTGCCGTTATTGTTAAACAGCAGCCGGCAGTGTCAGAGGGAAACGTGGCGGGACAACAACGAAAGTTAAGGCGGTGGAAGTCCGAGTAGGGCTGGTGGAAGGGGAGGTGGTCCAATGACTACCGACTTTAACCTGGGAGGACAGTGTTTGCTTCCGCGTGGACAGTGTTTGTTTTTCCTAATTTACCACGTGCGTGTGTTGGCAAAACATAGCCATGTGTGTGTCCGTACATTTCCTGTGAAAACAGAAGTGTGTTTTAAAAACAGACAATGCATGTAGCAGGCTGAAGTTGACACAGCGTCCCAGAACGTCAACAACCAACGCACCCAGGGTACCTTGCACGTCATATCTGGACATGGGAAGTCCATGACCAAACGTCAATATCTGACGAGGTCGGAGTGAGAATGTGTTGGTTATTATGTTGACACTCTCACTAGCATGCTCGCTAGTCACATTAGAGGTTGTCTTCACACTGCTGGAGATGTTGCTGTCAGCTAAATTCAATACGTCTCCCTCTAAAGAACAAAGTGGTGGATGGTCACACAACACTTCAGACAATCCGTCATTAAATGGGCAAATTATATAGACTTTAGGGCTGACCTTCAACTTCATTTTAGAAAATCGAAGCTTCAGAGCTCAGAACGATTTTAAATCGAAGCCTTCGACGACCGGGGGGAGTGGGGAAAAAAAGTCCAAAAAAGGTGGAAAATGTCACCATCAGCATATTATTTTACATCAATAAAATGTATTTTATCTTTATTTTGAGTCACATTGTTGAAAGAATTTAGTCGTCTGTGTTCAAGCAGGATAATAGGTCTCCATTCATTGCACGTCGGGCTTTCTGTTTCCTTGTCGGAGATGTTTTCTTTTTTAATTACATGATAGCTATTCTCCCTTAACTCACCAGTAAAGAATAGCTTTGTCCATTTCAAATAACCCATGGCAATAATAATATCCCTGTTCTCTGATTTACTGTGAAACTTTTTTAGGCAATTCATGCAACAATCAGACCACATGACTTCTTTACTCAGCCTAATGGGATTAGTGTGGCGTTCAAGGTCCCCCAAAAAAACGAGAGAAAAAAAAGGCCGAATATTCGATTTCTTTTTTTCACAATCGAATCCCGTGCCATCGAACAAAGCTTCGAATTTTTTGGGACAGCCCTAATAGAGTTAGTGCACCGTCACCAAAACACCCACCATGATGACATAATCCTCGTCCGGGACGCATCATGACACATAGCATCTACACTACAGCAGATACGAGGTCAAATGTGTCCCAGACCACCTTAACAAGTGATTCGAGCAATCGGAACACAATGCTTCTTGGTGGTCATTTACACTTGTATTTAGTCCACTTGTGATCAGATCATCCAAGATGCATGTCAACACCAGGTGTAAACAGGGTCTGAGAGGCTTGGCTTATTTTGTTAGAATAAATCAAAGTTGAAAATATTAGTTGATTAAGCAATATGTCCATTACCAGAGGATTAATCAGCAACTATTCTGATAATCGTTTGAAGCAATTCTTTGTGCAACAATGTCAGAAATGTAGTGGTTTCATCTTCTCGAGGGTGAATATTTTCCTCTTTGGTCTTTGATAGTGAACTAAATTTCTCTGGAAAATACATTTCAAGTCAAACAAGATGCTCCAAATGAGATCTGTGCAACCATTGTTGTGACTTTTCTTTTTCCCACTCCAAGTCAACCAAGATCAAGAAGGGAAGCAAAGGAGACACCAGCGTCCTGCAGCCCACTCTGATGGCAGCTGTCCCGGTACGTCAAGACGGTACACTCAGCCCAACACTATGCTCTAGACAGTATGTTTGAGGAGCCTTAACCTGTACAGTATGTCTCACTGAGTCAGTCTCCCGCAAGTCTGTGTTTCAAACTATGCTGTTTGGCCTCGTCTGGCAGCAGGTCAGATTTCTCTCCGTCTTTGTTCATAGTCCAGCTGTGGTGTAGCAGCGATGGAGTCCAGCAGGCCTGGATCTGCTGGATCTGTCTCTGGCCTGACAGTGGTGTAAATACTGTCTGCGTCCTACTGCTGGCCAGTTTCTGCTCTCCATCACTAAACAATGTGAGGGCTTAAGTATCTGAGGTTGGCTTGCTCTGCTTGTCTTTGAAGTATATTTGAGTGATTAATCCATTCCAGCAGTGATGACGCCAGGATGGTCTTTACTCAGAACCTGGCATCGCTGTATTTGTTTTGTCAGTGAAGAGCAGAGTGGGTGTTCCATCGTTCTTAAATGTTTTATTAGTTGAAGAAGGACTTTACAATTTGGGGAAACATAAAAGCTGGGTACGCAGCGTGAGCAGAGACGATACGATACGATACGATACGATATGATATATTTAAATGTCCCCGTTGGGAAATGCTTCGTGGACTCGGAAGCTGCCCAAGTATTTTTACATTGGACACTCTCTGTCCACACTAAATCTATTAAACATGGATCTCTGTTATGCCATGTTAACAAGCCACACACCAATCAGCTGTGTGCTCAGAGACCTCAGACTGACGATGTGACCACCGGAAAGATGGGCGAGTACTTACTTCCTTGTTGTTCATATTCACAATAGTACTATCGTGTGTTTACGTATCATTGTTTTAGCTACTGTACTATATCATACCACCATCTCCTCTTTGTAAAACACGCTAGCACACTAGCTCTGCTGAGCATCACACATGACCAGAAACATTGAGCTCCCAGCAAGATGCCACCCCATTTAGGTTTCTGTAATGACATGAGAGGGTTTCGTATAGATCAGTGATTCCCAACTGGTCCAGCCACGGGGTCCAGATTGCTCCTCAGCCATTACTTCAAGGTCCACAAAGTTGAATATATTCAGTGTCTGCGAGCTAGTTTGCTGTCTCTGTTAAGTAGCTGTCTGTTCTTTACTCATTCAACAACAGGAAACCGCACTTCAGAATAAAATCTTGTACCACAAATTCACTGTATTTCAAAATTAGTGTGTGTTTTTTACAAACTTGACATGTTTGCAAGTCACTTGCGGTCCGTTCAGAATGGACCCATGACCCACTTTTGGACTACGACCCACCAGTTGGGAACCACTGGTAAAGATAACTCCTCATTACAACTCTGTGAATCAGAAATCCATTGCGCTGCTTTCAACATGGCATAAAGTACAAACAAGGTGTCTGACAGAAGTTCAGCTCAATACGGTGCGCCGTATCACTCGCATACACTTAGGACGTTCCAGTAGAAAACAGTGCAGTCGAACTGATTCAGTCGTTGACGCTCACGCTGTTTTCAGTTAGGACACGGTGTAATAGGGTATCCACACAGCTATTAATATGGTTGATGGATCATTACACTTAAAAATTTATATTTTCCAGTGAATTATGTATTAAATGAATGGTAGCAGGCACTTAAATTGACAAACCACAGATGTTTATTATTTATACCAGGAGGACAGACACTAACACAAGGCAAAGCAAATTTATTTGTACAGCACATTTCAACAACAAGGCAACTGAAAGTGTGGTTGGACTGGTCATTGGAGCACCAAGAATGTTTGATTTGCTCATCAGTATCACTTTTTGTGAGCCGACCAGCCACAGCTTGGATGGGATGGGACATTAAATAAACATGCCGCAGCATACTTTGGAAATGTTGAACTCACTGTGCATGATAGTTAGCACTTAGCATGAACAAATTAGAGACTAACCACCACGTAGATTATTTTACACGCACAAGGATTTCACGAGGAAACAAAACCTACAGAAAATACTGGTTGTGTATTTCTTAAGCCCAGTTCAGACCAATGATTCACAACACAAGGCAAAACCATTTCAGAATGTTGCAGAGAAAAGTTGCAGCGGTGTGAACTGGTCTGAGCTCGACTCAGGCCGGCTGATGGTGTCACCTGCGACTCAGCTGGTCATATTGCCGGCGGCTGCAGCAGGTGATCCCTCCCTGCCGAGCCCTCTGTTTCCTCACGGTGTGGAGGTATTGGATGGTGGGTCACTGCTGCTGCTCGCTGTATGTGCTTATGCCCCGCCCACACACACGCACACACACACACATTCTAAATGACTGATTAACTGACACTGCTTACTTATATTATTGTGTTATTTGTTTCTGTTTCTCACCGTTTCATCACTACTACAAATGCAGCTGTAGCCAGTATCTCACTATCACTATGCTCATTCATATTTTAAGAAGCTACAAATTATATTCAGCCACAAAATAAACCTGAAAAGCTGCAAATCAGAACAGAAGTACAGAGAGTTGTTGCATTGAGATGATACACCGTCTCATCTAGCTGCATTAGTGTGAACCAAACATTGCAGAGCGACACATTGCAAGTGGCTGCCTGTTTTTTGTCTCATGTCATCGCGAATCTTTGATCTGAACTGGACTTTAAACTGCTGTATTGTCCAACTGAAATAGGAATTGGTGGTCTGTCGAAAAGTCCACAGCAGTGATTCAGCCCTAATCCATTCCTGATTCAAAGTACTTTATATGTCTGCTAAAAAGTTCACAGTTGATTCAAAGAGGCGGAGCTATCATAAAGATGGTTCGTTTTTATGAATTCCAAACCCAGGATGAGTAATGTCATGATTTTATATTAGTCAGTGAAATGTACGTAGATATGATGAAACTCTAACCACTGCCGTGAAGACTTTTGAAATGATTAAACCCCCTGACAATAGGAGATTATAATTCCATTGCTTATGTTGGCTAGACTGTGCGCCGGCCGGTTGGAGACAATACGCCCTTGCCGCTGTATTCTTTCCGTCTCTCTCACACCATGAGTTCAGCTCCACCCCCACCCCCCATCTCCCAGTGGTCGTAGTGTAAAGGGCAGAGGGCCCCAGTGTCTGGAACCATTCACAGCTGTAAACAGAACGTGAGAAAGCCCCATGTGGTTATCCCCACGACACACACACTCATACACGCTAACACACATACACGTACAAATTGTTTGCTGTGATATGACGACGGGCTGCTACATGAATCCTGTATCGACTTCCTCTCTCACTGCTTTAGCTTCACCCACAAACACACACACACACACACACACACACACACACACACACACACACAGGGAGCAGCTGGCTTTTATTGTTTTTGGTTTTTGCCCTTTTACCCATTTAAGTATGAGTCCAGCTTTTGAAGACTTTGCTGCTTTAGATGATGAAGTGTTCTTGATCTGTGGGTTTCAGTTCTTCCCACTGTCGTCCCGTTGACAGGAGGAATCTAAAAAAACCAAGTGAGGCATGTGACAGTGTTCCAGCCAAGAAACTAAATCGTACCAATTCCTTTGATATCTCAGTTCCCAGCACCGTCATGTTCTTATCACCAGTTCACCCCATTTTATCCAGTTTTTCTCTGACTAAGAAAGCCAAGCCAAATACACAAATTCATATAATTCACTCTCATAAACCCACATTACTCGAAATGCCAAGCACCAAACAGACTGCAGCGCGGCTCAGGCTGCATATTTCTGTCTGAACCCAACCTGAGTCCAAGAGAGCAGGAACAGAGTTTGACCCGAACCTGACACAGTTAATGTAAGGAAAACAGCCCGCTCCGCTTCTGCTGAAACACGCAGGAGACACTCTTTATACCACCGTGGCCAGTTCCTTGTGTCACTGACAACAAACCGAAAGGTGACCCTCCTCCGTAGGGTGTCTGGGCTCAGCCTTAGAGATGGGGTGAGGAGCTCGGACATCTGGAGGGAGCTCGGAGTAGAGCTGCTGCTCCTTCACATCAAAAGGAGTCAGTTTCAGGTATCTGCTTCGGATGCCTCGTGGCGGCTCCTGTTAGAGGTGTTCAGGGTACATCCCACTGGTAGGAGGCCCTGGGGCAGACCCAGAACATGCTGGAGGGATTATATATCTCATCTGGCCTGGGAACGCCTCGGGGTCCCCCAGGAAGAGCTGGGAAGTGTTGCTGGGGAGAGGGACGTCTGGGGTGCTTTGCTTTGGCTGCTGCCTCTGCGACCCAGCTTAGGATAGGCAGATGATAATGGAAGGATGGATGGACTGAACGCTAACATTGCTCTCTGTCTGCTTGATGTTTAAGTAGGCAATAATTTGCTAACATGTAGCCATAAGCTGGTGATTTGAGGCGGCTGTGTGTCTTTCAGCTTTTTTCTGCCCCCTAGTGGCCAAATGTTGATTAATGCAGCTTTAAGGAATTTGTTGTTTTTTCATTTGCAATACTAAATGCAGTTTTACCAGATCACTTTTTTAGCTTCACTGAAATCTCTTTTACAATGTCTGTTTTTTTTTCTATACAATAGTCAAACATAACTATCCTAACTATACCGTGGCCTTAAACCACACCCAACATTTTAGGTTGAAGAAGTTTACTGCAGTTCTTTTCTGTTTTTCAGTAAGCACATCCAGAGACTGACTCTGGTGGATTCTCTTGGTTTTGTAGGTCACTTGTTGCAAAGAGTCCATTGGGGAGACTTGCTGTTATGCAACTAAATTTAAGAGCATGTGTGTTCCACATTGTACCCATTTGTTTCTCCGGACTTGATGTGTATAGAAAAAGTTGTTCTGTCCTGTTCTGGTCTTTACGAGTTCTGCTTTTTACGAGCCCCGATCCTCTTAAAATTATTATTTAGTGATTTTAACCATGGACAAATTTTTGTATTTAGCAAAAAAAATCCATCATGTGCTCTGAGATTGGGACAACAGACCCTACTTCAGCTTCCATGAGCTTTTTTTCTTTTTAACCATCCCAATAAAAGAAAAATATTCTAAAAGCCCTAAATTTAAAAAACAAAAACAACACAATGTCTGTTGGTCTTGACTTCCTCAAGTATACATGTACATGCCCCTGTACTTCAGATCCAGTGTTTTGGTTTTGTCTGGCCTAATCTCCACTTTGAGGTGTTAGAGCTCTGGATGGGCCCCATATTAGGAGCTGTTACGGCAGTGCAACTGTGCTTCACCTCATATCTCAAACTTCTGTCTTTTCACCAATTCAGAAACAAGACTTGCTGCCAACATTTATCTGTCTGACTGTGTCTTTGTCCGCATTTGCATTATATCTCTGACATGTCTCTCCTCCTCACTCTTCTTTATCTTATCTGGTCTTATTTGGCCTTCCTCTGCATCAGTCTCACATGGTGCCTCTGCTTTTTTGCTCTCATTAATTCATTTAGTCTCAACCTTTATCTCACCACTCCCGTCCTTTGCCTCTGTCTCATCTCCGTCCCCCTCTGATTCCAGGAGATCATGGATCGTATCTACAAGAACGTGATGACCAAGGTGGAGGAGATGAACTGCGTCCAGCGAACACTCTTCATCCTGGCATACAACTACAAACTGGAGCAGTTCGCCAAAGGATACAGCACACCTCTATGTGACAAGTGTGTAGATGAGTTCCTACAGCTGGCATTTTGACGAGAGTTTGAAGAGTGTCTTCATGTTTGTCTCAAGTTAGCATACTGTTCCTGCCTTTTCTCCATCCAGACTGGTGTTCAGGAAAATTCGCTCTCTGCTGGGAGGACGGACGCGAGTGTTGTTATCAGGGGGAGCGCCGCTCTCCGCCGCCACGCAACGCTTCATGAATGTGTGTTTCTGCTGCCCAGTGGGTCAGGGATACGGCCTGACGGAGACCTGCGGTGCTGGAACCATTAGCGAACGTAAGCAGTAATGAGAGACACAAAGTAGTATATGGTTAGAGAAGACTATATTGAAATAATACTAATTAAATAATCAGGAATATTGAGAGAAACTAATGACATTCCCATCTGCCTCAGCTGTACTTTTTAGTGTTGATTAGCAAACATTAGAATGCTAACATGAGGTTGCTAAGCGACCATAACCAGCACCATATCATAGCCTACTTACCAGAAATCCTGAGACCTCTTCCTCCAGGTGTTGTTTAGTAGTGTGTATTTGGCCTAAAATATTATTGGTGTGACAGACGTAAAGCTCTGGCAGCCCTGCACTAAAATGATCAAATTCTTCTCCGTCTTTACCACAGACTGATATTTATGGAAGAAGGGAAAGATGTTTACCAGCTGTGGTTGGTTGTACCTCATCACGTGACATGCGGCGCACGCTGCTGCTCTCCAAAAGTTGATCTCAGGGCACAGCCGTCGTGCAGTGGAAAAAAGCAGTATCAGTTTAAGTGCGCTCTATATTTACAATATTTTCACCCCTTTGCCTTGCCATTAGACGGCCTTTCTGAAGGGAAACTGAAGCTATTGTCTCAAAGCTATCAGACTCCACTGACAAAAACAACCATTTTACTTTTAGTGTGTACTTTACAGAAATGGGAGTTGCTGGTTTACGCCTGCCTTGAACGGTCAGTGGAAAGAAAATACACTGCTAAAAAAAACACGGTATCATCACAGTATAACAACAAGTGAGTTAAACTTCAGGGATATCAATCCGTTTAGGAGGCACAAGACCAAACTGTCAGACTCCATGAGGGTGGCACGAGGGCCTGACGTCCTCTAGTAGGACCTGTGCTCTCAGCCCAGCACCGTGCAGCTCGACTGGCACTCGCCAGACACCACCGGAAATGACAGGTCCACCATTAGCGCCCCATTTTCTTCACAGAGGAAAGCAGCTTCACACTGAGCACATGTGACAGGTGGAAAAGAGTCTGGAGACACCGTGGTGAACGTTATGCTGCCTGTAACTGCTGGCCAGTATACGTTTTGCTGCAGCCCCCATCTGCAGCAGTACATTGCTTAGCCGCTTAGATTTGATTTATCAAAGAAATTAGCAAAGCAAAACTTCACATAAAATAAGCACAGCAGAAATATCAGATGTGTCGGACCACCATGTTTAACTATGTATCTTCAAACGGTACAGTTACGGCTGAAAATTTCAACAGAAGTAAAACAAGTTTCCTGATTTGACACACCTCCAAAATTGAAATCAGTTGCCTGTTGTCTACCCGGATGTGATTCAGTCTTTACCTGCGAAACATCAGGATGCTAGCATTGTCATTGTGAGCGTGTTAGCATACTGATGTTAGCAGTTAGCTCTATATCCCAGTTCAGACCAGAGATTCACGACGAGACGAATTGAGACAGGCAACTACAGCGCTGTTCTGTAGTGTTCTAAAAACCTGCCAGTTCACACCAATGCAACTAGATGAGATGGTGTATCATCTCTATGCAACAACTATCTGTATGTCTGTTCTGATTCGAGCTTGTCAGGCTTATTTTGTGGCTGAATATAATTTGTAGCACCTTAAAATACGTTTTAAAACTAGCCGCTGGCGATGTGACCAGCTGAGTTGCAGGTGACACCATGAGCCGGTTTCGTCTCATCGCAAATCTTTGGTCTGACCTAAGCCTAACACTCTCTGCCACTGTCACAGAGCCTCTATCATGGCTGTAGGCTCTTAGTCTTGTTTGTCAGCAATAACTCAAAGTGAAAGGACAGCGATACATCAACAATAACGACTGCATCTTAACTAGAGTGAAACTGAAGTGAAAGTAAAGTAGCTCTAAATTAAGATTCATTAACTGGAAAACTTGCACATTGTTGCAATTATGGGAAGTTACTGGAGTTTCCACAACCTGCAGCTGCAGATAAAAGCAGTGGGAGGATGTGAAAATGAAAAAGGGCTGGGAAAACAGATGAGAGGAAAGTAATAAGTAGATATATTGTGCAGGGGTTACAGTAAACAGAGGGGAGTAGGTTATGTTATGAAAAGGAAGGCAGTGGTGTGGAAAAAACAACAGTAGCCACAAGTCATCGTGCACTTTGACCCCAGTTAGCATGAAGTTAGCAGCCTGTCGTGAGCTGTTAAATTAAGACCTTCATCGCAGCTTCTCGTAAATAGGGAAATCATTTTTTTATTTCTTAATATTGTGCGTAAAAGAATGCCACTCATATCTGTGGCGGTGTTAACAGTCCCAATCATCTGCTTTGAATGTCGTCGCTCATGTATCGGCTTTCACTGCCAACACATTTGTCAAATTGTGGAAAAACTCCCAGGCTTTCCCAGGCAGACTAAACCGACAGAGCGGCCCGCTGCCCGTCACTCTCCGCTGCGGTCATTTGAGCCAGGAAAACACTGTTCTGTGGACACTCCTTTGGGATGGGGTTTCCATGGCGAGGGAACAAGTGAGGTCGTGTTGCTATGGTATTAAATGTCGTGACTTGATGCTAGTGTGCTTCCTGATCACGTGTGTTGTCTGTTTTGTTCTAGTGTGGGATTACAGCACTGGGAGAGTGGGAGGGCCGCTGGTTTGCTGTGAGATCAAGCTCAAAGACTGGGTGGAAGGTGAGTGAGAGTCACACACACACACACTGGAGCCATGATGAAATAATACGGTGTAGCATGGACTCACAGGAACAGACTTCTGTAGCTGGTCCACAACCTTGTAAGGAAAACATACTTCTATTCCTTCCACTCCTGTACAATCTCCATCTTTTTTACGTAAGACATCATAACTCATTTTTATTACGCCCAGTTAAATCTTGATACTTATCAAGTTGAGTTTATTGCCTGCTTGGCGCGCAGAGCAGAAATATAACTCAGAGTAAACACGCTGTTATTTTTTTATCTCTGCAAAATCACTGCATAGTGATCGAAACAACTGAGGGATTGATTTAAAAGAGTTATGGGTTAGAAAATGAGGATTTTATTATAAAGGAAATACAACACCCAAAGTACTTTAAACATGATGCAGGGATGCAGTGGAACAAGATTCAAGGTGATTTAAGGGCTATATCAAAACCTGGGAGAATGTAAAGCCTTCTCAGCTGTGTACATCAAGACGAAATGGGAGGAATTGAACACTGAAGAATGGCTTGATATGTGCAAAACACAACACACCACTACAAACTCAAAGACATGGAGGGAGTTTGGGTGGAAAAATTCAATACGCTACTTCATTACACCTAAAATAAAGAGTAAAATAACTGGGTTACAACAGCCATTTTGGTGAGTATGTGGGAATAGAGAGGCAAACCATTTCATATTTTTTGGGAATGTCACAAGCTACACCAATGATGGGAAAAGGGCAGGTAGGCACACCAACATTCACAAACACTTGGCTGGCACTGCACCGTCGTGGAAGCTTAAGAAGCAGTCTCATTCCATCATTATAGGCCACATGTTGCTCTTCCTATAGGAGCGCAGTATACAGAGGGGTACAAACTGCTCGACAAAGAGAGATCTTCACATTAACTGAACACATGCTGAATTTGTGGGCAAGCATATTGCATGCGCATACAACTTGCAACACTGCCTGTGGATGTCTTTGTCAACAGATAAACCATTGAAAATATAATGACGGAGATATTTAATCTCATTACGCACTGAGCAACACCAGATAAAAAGAATTCAGGAAATACAAATTTTCTGTCTTTATTTCTAACAATCATAATGTTGCTCTTATTGACATATATTTGATGTCAAAATCTGCACCATGGTCAGAGCAAATTTTCAATAGCTGTTGTAGGCCGGCATTATACGGGCAGAAAACTACCAAATCATCTGCAAACATAAGATGATTAATTTAAATATTGCCGACCATACACCCTGTGTTACATGCATTTAACTGTTGGGACAAGTCATTTATATACAGTACAGGCCAAAAGTTTGGACACACCTTCTCATTCAATGCATTTTCTTTATTTTCATGACTATTTACATTGTAGATTCTCACTGAAGGCATCAAAACTATGAATGAACACATGTGGAGTTATGTACTTAACAAAAAAAGGTGAAATAACTGAAAACATGTTTTATATTCTAGTTTCTTCAAAATAGCCACCCTTTGCTCTGATTACTGCTTTGCACACTCTTGGCATTCTCTCCATGAGCTTCAAGAGGTAGTCACCTGAAATG